CCAAAGATGTTCATGTACTAATCCCTGAAACTGAGAATATGTTACCTTGCATGGCAAAAGGAACTTTGCAGATGTGATTGAGCTAAGGCTCTTGAGAGGGAAAGATTATTCTAGATCACCTGGGTGGGTCCAAGCTAATCACAAGGATCTTTATAAGATGGAGACAAGAGAGTTGGAGTCGGAGAAGGAGGTGTTGTGATGGGATCGGAGGAGGGAGTGATACCATTGCTGAAGGAGGTCCTGAGATGAGGGCTGCAGGGAGAGGCAAGGATCAGCCTTCCTTAGGATCTTTATAAGATGGAGACAAGAGAGTTGGAGTCGGAGAAGGAGGTGTTGTGATGGGATTGGAGGAGGGAGTGATACCATTGCTGAAGGAGGTCCTGAGATGAGGGCTGCAGGGAGAGGCAAGGATCAGCCTTCCTTGGAGCTTTCAGAGGGAGCGCAGGCCTGCCAATACCTTGACTTTAGCCCTCTAAGCCCCATTTTCAGACTTCAGACTTCCAGTACTGTAAGATAATATTTGTGTTGTTTTAAACCACTAAGTTTGTGATAATTTGTTATAAAAGCAATAGAAAAACTAACCAATTAAGGCTCAATGTTTTTCTATAAGCCCAGTTTGATAGGTTGCATTTTTACTGGATAACATTTTGTAATTTCCATTGTGATTTTTTTAACACATGGATTATTTAGAAATATATATGCTAATTTCCAATCATATGCGATTTTTCTAGTCGTCTTTTTGTTATAGGTTTTTAGATTTGGAATTTTTCAGTTTTCCTTCTATTATTAACTTCTAATTTAATTCCATTGTGGTTTGAGAGCATAGTTTATTTGCTTTTAAATGTATTGAGGCTTGTTCAATGACCTGGCATATGGTCTATCCTGGAAAATGTTCCATAGTCATTGGACTAAAACGTGTATTATGCTTTTGTTGGGTGGAGTGTTGTATGAATATGTTACATCTAGTTGGTTTACAGTGTAAATGAAGTCTTCTATATCCTTGCTGGTTTTCTGCTTACAGTAGAGCAGAGCCTTGGGGGTGTGTGGTGACTCCCTGACTACGAGTGGTGGTAATGATGTTTACCTGTGCTTTTTTTTTTGTCCTTTTTGAGACCGGCCACACTGCGCTCAGCCAGTGAGCGCTGTGTATGCACTGGTCATCCCTATATAGAATCCGAACCCACGGCGCTCCCAGCGCCGCACTCTCCCGAGTGCACCACGGGCTCGGCCCTACCTGTGCTTTTTTGACTGTCTTTTTATCTGATCTTCCCACTAAACTCCTACTGGTCTGTTTCAATTGGTATCACATTCAGCTGGTAACCTGTACTAATTTCTAGCTGATTGCTCTGTTGTTCCAGAGTATAATCCAATTAAAGTCAGGACCCTTCCAGGGGCAGGGTTTTGCCAGGTTTTGAGGCTTGTTTTGAGCCCAGAGCTCTTGTAAGCTGGCTCTTTTCCCATTTTTTTCCTGTTAAACTTTAACTGGTCTACTGTTCTCCTCTTACACTGTTTTCGAGAGTACTCTTGAGCATGAACTTCCCTAAGCTCCATTCAAGATAAAATCAATCCCCAGAGGGAGAGCTGCAGAGCTCTGTGTTCCTATGGCCTGTCTCTTTCCAGTGCCACTGCACTGAAGTTGGGAGCACGCATGGTGGCCTCTTCTCTAACAGTTATTCTTTTGCTCTACAAGTGGGGTCCTGGTCAGGACTGGTAATTCCCTGGTAGTCTCGGCTTGCCCCTTCTTGTGTGAATCCTCCTCCCTACAAATGAGCTGAGTTGGGGAAATCTGGGCCTAGTATTTCCAGCTACTGGTCCTGGGATAGAGTTTCTACCCTATGAGTGGGGCTGAGAGGGGAAGGGAGCCCTAGTGTTCTCAGCTATGCCTTCCTGGAATGGAGCTTCAGCAGTATGAGTTGGGAGTGATAAGAGATGTCAGCAGCCTACCTTTCCAAGGTGAAACCATAACCCTAAATGGAATTGGGAAGAAAGGGAGTCCCATCTTCTTGGCTGTAGCCATCTTGAGTAGCGTTACCATCACACTAAGCCAGCCAGACTTCTCACCTTCACGTCATTATTACAACCAACCAAACAAATAGCACATCAATAGATTATTCTATTTGAATAGTGAACTTTTCAGATTTTTACTATTTTTTATTCCTTTATATTTTAAGTCTGGTATTAGTTCATCATTTCTATGTCCAATATATTTTTTAAAAAATAGAATGATTTAAATTTGATTTGGTCTTGAATCTCAAACATCTGAATGTGCTCCCACAAAATGCAGTCAAATATTTCTTTATCAACTAAAACAAGCTTTTTTTTTCCTTTAGCATCTGAAACTAATTCTTGTTGACAGCCATTTAGAAGCAACCAAGTATGAAGCTGTAATGGTTAATTTTATGTGTCAACTTGGCAAGGTGATGGTACCCGAATATTTGATCAAATATCAGTCTAGATGTTACTGTGAAGGTGTTTTTTTGATTAACATTTGTCTTTGTCCATCTGTGCTCCAATAACAAAATACCTGAGACTGGGTAGTTTACAAATAATAGAGCCTTCGTGACTTAATCACTTTATGTCCACAATGAGGATTAAGTTTCAACATGAATTTGGGCGGACACACTGAGACCATAGCAACATTTAAGTCAATAGACTTCAAGTAAAGCACATTACTGTTCATCATGTGGGTGAGCCACATCCAATCAGCTGATGCCTTGAAGAGAAAAGACTGAGTTTCCCAAAGGAAGAAGGGGTTCTGCCTCCAGACAGCCTTTAGATCTGAGACTGCAATGTCAACTCTTCACTGCATCTCCGGGCTGCTGGCCTGCCCTGCGGAGTTTGGACTTTCCAGCCCCACAATCATGTGAGCCAATTATTTAAAATCTCTTTCTTTTCTACACACACAAACCCACATATCCTATTGGTTCTGTTTCTCTGGAGAGTCCTAATATAGAAGCCCTAGCAGGAATTTTCAACTAAATAGACTAATTTTAAATAATTCCTCAAGCATTTCATGTCAAGAGACTTTTTGTTTTGGTGTTAAAATTCCTATTTTAAAGGTATAAATACAAAACAATATAACTGACAGCCATATATCTAAACTTAACATACGGTAACATTTTTACAGGGTCTTCATAGCAGGTCTATTTTGAGTTTTTTGAAATATCTGAAGCATTAAAAATGCAGATCTCTCAGCTTGTGTGTGAGGATGAGAGACTACAGACTTTAAGACAGAGTAACTGTGCTGAGACTGAATTCTCAGCCAGAGAAGAGCCTAGGGACTTGTCTCAACAGATTAATAAGCCCTTACCAGATAAATAAAGGTGAAGTGATCTTTCACGCCACCTCCTCATCCCTGAAGAAGGGACCCACTTGCTTGTAATCATAGTCCTTGAGGAAATTAGCAGGCAGTTGCCAATAACCCAGTGCTTATGCACGTTCGTCCTGTCCTGTCTACTGAAGTTTTGTACTTTTTCCTGTGAGATAGAGATCTGCCGCATTTGTGACACCTAGAACCTGGATTCCTCGCTAAGACAGCAGCAATAAATTATATTTAGGTAGAAAATTAAGGAGAAAAAACTTTTTTTTTTGTCTTTTTTCGTGACCGGTAAAGGGATCGCAACCCTCGGTGTCACGCCCGCACCGCGCTCAACCAGTGAGAGGACAGCTAAGACAGCAGCAATAAATTATATTTAGGTAGAAAATTAAGGAGAAAAAACTTTTTTTTTGGTCTTTTTTCGTGACCGGTAAAGGGATCGCAACCCTCGGTGTCACGCCCGCACTGTGCTCAACCAGTGAGCGGACAGGTCTCTATATGGGATCCGAACCCTCGGCGGGAGCACCTCCGCACTCCCAAGCGCCGCACTCTACCGAGTTCGCCACCGGGCTGGTCTACCGAGATCGCCACCGGGCTGGCCCAGAAAAAACTTTTTTAATGCTCAAAGTAGTAAGAATGAAATATGATAACATTTCCATCTACACAAATTATAAATATTTTTCCTTTGTAAATTTGTTTCATTACTTGGGACATGAAGGCTCACAGTATTATTTTTACATACATCTCCATATGAGGCTCATGGCCCCTGAGACAGATTGGGAAGATGGAGAATCACTGCTGGGGGGTGGGGGAGAGCAGATGCTGCTGTACCAGGATTTCTGACTCTTCCCATCCCAAGTCTGACTTCTACCCACACGGCACCATAAGTATAGATTTCTCCAAAAATGGAACATTAGATATAGAATACTCTATTAAACCAGAAATTCAATGATGATGATGAAAGATAAATT